GATCATGAAAAAGTTGAAACACATGAAATAACTCTGAACTAACTAAAAATGATGAGGTTATATGAGACTAGATTTTCCTTAGCAACGGCTCGAAAAGATCGGTTAATGGGCCCTTAATCTAATTGTTAAATAGAAACACGATTTTTAACCAATTAGCGCGCGTATTTTCTTAGGACTGTTTTCTAAATGAGTTTTAGATACGCGTGCAGCAGCCAAAGCAGCAGAGCTTTCAAGTTGGCTGCCTCGTATTCACAGATAAAGGAAAGAAAAAGTAAATGTAATTTACGCTAATACTCAGGAGAGAGAGGAGTTACAAAAACTAAAAGCAAATATACTCAGTTACTACAACTCAAGTAGCACTATTATGTTATTATATACCGTGTACAATCCTTTTTTACAGGTTTCTTACAAACAAGCAAAGATAGGTAATAGGTAGATACTCAATCACGGACAAAGCTAAAGCTTTCATTCACTTACAAGTTAAGTGTTTCTTATTTCAGTGGCTGGAAATTTTAACTGTAGTTTTGAAATAGCGTAACCAACGTTCTTAGAGTTCTCAGAAAGAGGATGGTAAAAGGGAAGTCAAAATCACCTTTCAAAAAAAACAAAATGGAACATTTACACTTCCAAGAAATAAGATGGCCATTTCACGTTTCACCAAAAAAAGAGCCGAGGCAAATTGTATTGACAGAAAATCTTATTACAATTCCACCACTAACTCCTAAACATGTCTACCCGCACTGATTTACCCGCTCACCTATTCTTTGTTCGACCGCCAGTACAAAAGCATCGAAGTAGACTTATACAACTTTCTGTCGCATTCTTCTTTCTTGTTGGATAATTTATTACTTGTAAAGCGCCATTGAACCATTGGGAAATGGCGCTCTATAAATTTTATTATTATTATTATTGTTATTGTTATTATTATTATTATTATTATTATTATTATTAATTTCTATTTGATTGTCATGTCAGGAGTCTATTACAGTGGACGATATCAAATATGTTAGCTTAATACTGGCTTTCTACAGTTAATGAAATATGCAACGATCAATCTATCAAGGCTGGCTCTTCTTAAGCTCTTCTTCTACAATTGTTCCCGTAAAAGGGACGCCTTTTTAAACTTTGTCATATAAATATATTGACGGATTCGAGAAAAATCAAACAGTGAATCAACGGCAAGCGGAGGTTTGCCGTTGAAGGTGATTCTTATTCTCTCTACTGGTTTTCCTTTGTTACCCTAATTGCCTGACAGCAACGCCCTTATTATAGCTGTCTCTGGCACATTTTCTTGATCTTCTCCAGTTTCTTATAGGCTTTTGGAAGCGTTTTCTTAAAATGTTCCGTACAACATAAACTAATTATAATATATAATTAAAGACACCTATGAGGTGCGTGACATGCCACACTAGCGTTAGCCTCACTACTCGATTCTGTCGTGACAAAAGAAACCCCGGTAGATCAAAGGATTCAGGGTTTTGGGAACGAAAATAGCTCTCGGAGTCGGTCTTTTGAAAAATGATAAAAGAAAACAAAATCACAGCGTCAAAGAGTTTATATACCTGTCCATCATCAAAACGAAAGATCGAAATATTTTCACACTGGTTGGGAAAGTTGAAAAGATCAGAAACGCAAACAGGGAGTCAATGGTAACCGGACCGAGGGGTTGATGGAAGGGAGCCGCTGCAAAGGAGCTTTGTACTAAATTACAATTTCATAACAATTGCAAAAGCTCAGGTGTAATGTACTGGTATTATTTCTACGATGACGGTCTTAGCTTCATTTCAGTAAATTTGAGTGAGGCATACGTGTTCTTCCACTTGTACCAATTGACACCTTCGCGATTAGTTTTGTCTCCCAAGTATTTTCCGTTTAGATCGGAGTAGTGGCAATTGTTTAACCACCAGGCGCCTTTACTATATACAGCACAGTTTCCACCGCTCCATCTGTCATTATCTCTGTCTTTTGTAGTGAACGCCATGTTACTATGCTCCACAAACGAATCTCCCGCTGTCCCCGAATATGAACCCACTTCAAGTCGATACTGCGCCTGCTCATCACCAATCCTGAACTTACCATATTTGGCATACACTTTGCCTCCGTTCCAGTCCTCTAGCTCGACTCGTAGAGAGCTGGGCCTAGCGGCTGTCAACCTGTGGATCTTATCGTTTCCTAGCCAGAACTCAGCAGTCAGCTGACCAAAGCCTGCTTTGTAGTCGTCCCATCCCCGATAGAAGTCTACCGAGCCATCCTGTCTTCGCTGAAACACGGTCCAGCCTCCACCGTCAGTGCTCATGTCACAGTAGACACTGAAGTGTCCTGTACCGTCTGGGTTGATAGAGTACACTCCACTCTGAGTATGGCCTGATTTTAACAGTTCAGAACAATCTGATAAAACAGAATACACGCAGCGAATTTCTTTTTTAGTTCAATTAATCAGATAACTTGTTTATTTGTAGCTCATTTTGAAAACAAAACCAAAGAGGTACCATAATCTGTAACTGAGAAATTCGAAACGAAAAGCCCTAAACTGTAATAAAGTATGATTTTCGACCCTTAACAGGTACGATGAGTGTTCCCTTCACTGCTATACAGGTAGTTACCTCTTTCCCCGGATCAACCCTTCTTCTGCATTGTGCAAACGTACTGATTACAAGGTATAAATTCTCCCTTTCTTGGTCTCGAATTCTCTTCTCGGGAAAGAAGCCGTTTTGGAAAGAAAGACCGCTTTTGCCAAATTGTCTTTATAGCACTCGTAAAGTTTGCGACGTTTACTATATTGGCAAAAAATAGCGCGAGCAGTCAAGAGTACTCCGTAAGTTACACCTCCCATGACGCAGTCAGTGGCTTAGCAACGTCGGAAAAATAACCGCAGGCGTAATTTGGTTCACTGAGACCGGAAGGAGTCATCATTAGTGATCGTTCTTCCAAAAAGAAACATTTGGTCGCGATTTAGGGATACAGTAAATAATGAAACAAACATTGCAAATAAACTGTAAACGTGTTAAGAATCTCATCTTATGGAAGGCTGACCGTTTGCCTGATTACATAAGCGTACGGGAGATTTTGTCCCTGCTAGTCGCGGGATTAAAATTATAAATCTCAGTATTTCGAGTCCCACGTCCTGACCTTAGTTTACTGCGCAACTTCCAAAGACGACAAATCAAATAATTCCCTCAAACCCTCCAGGCGGATGCAAGGATTCGGCGTAATCCCACTCTTTCTTTTGCGACAAAGAGAACCACGCAATTTACCTTTGCCTCTTGCTAAAACTTCAAGATCACTTATTGTCTCGATATGAAACACTCCTGCACTTGTAGCCACACAAATGTAGTTCCCAGCATCTTCTTCTTTCAAATCTCCCAAGACAAGGGCAGCGTTTGTCCTGTGACTCCTCCCCACGGGAAGTGCTGCTCCTTGTCTTTTCCAGCTGATGACTGGTCGTGGATCACCGGTGGCACTGCAGTTTAAGGTTAAAGTATCGCCAGTAGCAGCAAAAACCTTTCCAGGCGGTTTAACGGTGAACTTAGGAAGTGAAATCACAACTAGTAGAGTTTTCCTTTCAACATTTCCTAAAAGGTTAACTGCTGAACAGAAGTAGGCGTCAGAATCAACTTTACGGACATTTGAGATTTGTAAAGCAGTGTTGTTATACTGTGCCCTCCCCTGGGGTAACTGACCAGACGACTTCCTCCAGGTGACCACAGGAGCAGGGTATCCGGTCACGTGACAGGCGGGTAAAGTGAAGCTACTTCCTTCGATGACGTAAGAAGGTCCCGGATGTAAAGAAACACGAGGATGAACTGCAATCAAGTGAAAACATTCAGTCACAATTTTTAACTGAAGGTAGCTTACTACAGTTTTTCCGAGACTCAGTAGCGCGCGCTACGATTGCCTGGCAGACGGCAATATTAGTCGCGTTATAAAATCAAAGGCGTTGAATCACTTCGGAATATGCAGCGATAGTTTCAAACTCCATTCAAACATGTGTAAGACAGACGGCTCTACTCTGGTGAAATGTCCTCCTAAAAACAGGCTTATTGCTTAGCGAAATATTCAAAGATCCCCCTATCGTACCATACAAAAGGGGTAGATCCTCAGATATACTAGTTCGAGCAAAACTTTCAAAGCGGCTATTACACGTGGATTGGAGTTGTGTAGGCCTGTCGCCCCATTGTTATCGCGTATTGGACACAATAAAAACAAATAAAAGAATCAGGATATTTTAGCACTAGTGAGACAATCTCAGATAGTGCAGAGCGCAATTGATAGCTCTGGTACAGTAGTCCCATAAATACTCACCTCTGCTCGGTTCACTTCCGGTTTGTGTCTACCTTGGTAGTCTGCTACAGCTTTACCCCTTTGCAGTGTGTATGTTTAAAGGTTGTGTTTTCATTCAAGGTCCAAAAAGTGCCCACAAATTAATTACTAGTGTTTTACGTTGATTTTCGTTCATTTTAAATTCAATAATACACTGAAGCAGCAGACGTGACAATTTAGCTCTTCCAACAACTTTGTAACTTGATACTTTTGTTTTCCTCGCAAAGGCATATAATATGAAACCCTTGTTTTCTCTAAAATATACGGAAGATGTCCTTGTTTTTTGGAGATAAATGAAAGAAAGTTAAATATCTGATGTAGTGATGAAGAAACGGAACAGAAACGATGTTGTTTTACTAA